ATGAGGGTAAAGTAAATGATATTAAATCATCAACAGTTGAATTATATCGTTGTGCTGATAAATATCAATTAGATGATCTAAGATTACAAGCAGAAATGGCATTAATGAGTTCAATATCAATTGATAATGGTGCTGAAATTTTATTATTATCTGATCAACATCATTCAAAAGATTTAAAACAAAGAGTTATACAATTTATTGTTAATAATTTAAAGGCTGTTACAACAACCGATGGTTGGCATAAATATGTCAGTTGTGTACCTGAACTAGTAACAGAAGTTATTCAAGCAACTACACAAGAGTAATGATATAAATGATAATAAAAAAAAGTAAAAAATATTTGACTAAAACATATTTTTCTTTATATACGCTAATGAATAGCGTTTGTTTCTATACAATTTATTTTCAACAATAATAATAATAATAAAAAAAAAATCTCTATTCATTAATTTATCAGAAAGTAGATGAAAAATTTATTTCAATTAAACTATCATCAGTCATACTAAATATCTATTTATCCATTTTTTCTCTTTTTTTCGCACTAATATCAGAGTGAAAAGAATGACAGCTCGCCATCTTATAAATAAATATTGCGTGATTAATTAGTTTCATTTATTTTGTAGTAAAATAGTTTTATCCAACGAAAAATAAGTGAGTATATATATATATATATATATCTAAGAAATTTTAAATTTTACTCAGTAAAAATATTTTGCAATAAAATAGTTTACTTTCTTGATATTAAAAAACAGACAAGTGCAATTTTTTCACAAATAATTTTTTTTCTTATTTCTAAAAAAATTATTTCACTTTGTCAATATAGAGTTGATGTTAATAAAATTTGACGCTAGTCATTAGAACTAACTTAAATTAAAAGGGATCCTAATTCTTTTTTTTTCTTCTTTTTCATCTTATGTATAATATGTATATTCTCATTACTTTGTACTTATGTTTGTAAATATTCTCTACTCTTTATGTCATTATATTTTTATGTTGTTTTTTTATTCTACTACTATATATGATGTCAGTTTTGTTCTCTTTTTTTTTCTTTGTTTTTTTTTTTTTACTATACTGCAACTATTTTATTACTAAACTGTCAATGATAAATTTAATACTTATTAATAATAAACATATTGAGCTTTTTTTTTTTCTAAAAAATAAATCATGTTTAACAAGATTAAATAAAACGTAGTTATTAAATGATTTAGAAAATATTTTTTTGTTATTCAAGGTAGTAAGCAAAAAAAAACAAAAAAAAGAAAGATTTTTAACGAAAAATTAAAAGAATAGAAAATAGAAAATATTTCCAAGGATGATAGAGTTCTAAATAAAAATATTATCTGACATTGGAATAATGAGATATAAAGCATGCAATGTTACAATTGTATAGCCATGAGACATCTTAATGAGACTCTATTTACGTTGAAGGACAAGGTGACTATAGTTAGATATTTCTTAAATTAGTGAGAATTTTGTATTGACTCAATAAATTTCTTACTCTCTCTTTTTTTGTTTTAAATATTGAAATCTATCATTCATTGTATACGCATTAATGCACAATTCCAATTAACTAGAAGATGAAAAAAAAAAACCACTTCATTGCCGATTCAAGTTAGAAATTATTCTGAAATAAGATTCAAATATAATTATCACACTCTTAATAATAAATCTGATTAGCAAAAAAATGATTTTTTGGGAAGATGACCTTTCGAAACTACGACATATCTCAAAAGGCCATCTCTCTCTTATATATACATTGAGTATTTGGTATAGTTAGCTTCTCTTGAGAACAAAATAGTTATATTTCGTTTTTTTTTTATCCATATCGTATAAATATATTGCCAATCAAACGACT